GACACTATGCAATTCAACACTGGTCATTTTGTCTGTCCATATTATTTATTAAACTTTAGTGCCCTATGCATAATAAATGTATTAACATGGTAACATCCCCTGCCTTGAGCTGTTGTTTTTATTTTTTTTAAAAATCATGTATGTCTATATTAAATGTGTTTTTTAGATCCGAACCATGAGATATGCCCACCCTATTTTGCTAAAAGTTTAAGAATAGACTTATAGTCTAGCTCTTTCCTCAGTTACACAGGAACAGATACACCCTTTCAGTGCTGCATTGGATGAATTGCTCCAGCACTTAAAGAGTGAATTTCCAGTATGATAACAGATTTTGGATTCATGATGGCCCTTCCAGCCTGTTTAACTGTTTAAAATATATGAACACAGACAGATTCATTTTTGAAACATTCTAGACTCTGTATCCACTCCTACTTTACCCTGAGCTCAATCATGATTGTAGCTACTAGGCCACAAAGTGGAAATCAATCAGTCCAGTTGGATTGTTACTTAGTAACCTGTAGCCCCACCCCTTTTCTGGGCCTTGCACACATGGCCACCACACTCAGAGTTACATTACTCTCTAATGCAGGGCAAGCTGTCTCATGGCTAGGTGAGTACACAATTAAGGTAAATTATTTTGAGGGATTGGGGGTATATATTTCTTTGTGTCTGCACTTGTAAGTTATGTTTTGTCCTGATGAAAGCTCCATGTGGGAGCTGAAACGTTGACTTTTTAAATGGATTGAATAAAAGCTAAATTTTATTTGAAAATCTCTATAAAGTGCTTGGAGTGCGGTCATTTCTGCTATGTATGTATATATATATATATATATATATATATATATATATATATATATATTTGCAGTTATTTGTATTTTATATATAGATAGAATGTCATTTTAAGTGTATTTTGTTACATTATATATATATATATATATATATATATATAATAAAATACAGTTAGAATGAAATTACTTATGTATATATAATTTATTGCAATTTTTGTAAAATATTTTATTTATTAATAATTGTAATTATTTATATATATATATATATATATAAAGTTTGATCCTCTTGCACTCCTACTAAACATTCAGTAGTACCAGGTGCCAAGTCCCAATCATATAACAAGTATCAAAAAAATTACCGGCACTCTTGGCATTTATTGTAGGTCAATTCAAACGAAGTCAACGTTTCAGCTCCCGATCGGAGCTTTCATCAGGACATAAAGAGCATAAAACATTGCAAATAACAAACATATATAGGGCATCTCTACCAAACAACACTCACCGTATCAGCTGTATCCCATATCCCCCGATGCCCGGCGTGCATTCAGGGCCTTTGCGCATGTGTATATGTGGTCATATAATTCCATCTAAGACATTTTCTCAATAGGATACATTGTCGCACAGAATTTGTCATATATAAGCTCACATGTCCATGTGGACTGAGCTATATAGGAAAAACAGAGACAGCCCTGTGCGAGAGAATTAGAGGCCACAGGTCAAGTATCCGCCTTGCTTATCGTGATGGCAAGCCAGACACTTTTTGGAAACGCAACATTCGCTTTCCAATTTGCGATCTGTGGCATTCGATCATGTTCCCGTAGCTGCCAGAAGTGGGGACAGAGGTAGACTTCCCTTACAAAGAGAGACTTATTGGATAATGGAACTTAACACGCTTTCCCTTAAAGCAGGGGTTCTCAACGTTAGTCCTCAGGACCCCCTACCAGTTCAGGGTTTAGGGATTACCTGGGTGTGTCTAAGGTGTTTAGAAAAAAAAAACACCTTAGAGTCTAAGGTGTTTTTTTCCCTTTTCCTAAACACCTGAGACACACCCAGGTAATCCCCAAATCCTGGACTGGCAGGGGGTCCTGAGGACTGCAAGGCTTAAATGAAAAATGTTCCTTTAATTCCTTTCTATAATCATTCTATGTTTAAGTGTCTACTTATCCTGATAGAGAAATTTCTTGGGGAAATAATTCTTTGAGAAGGTTTTTCCATACAGAGATTTATTTTAAAGAAAAAAAATTCTGAAGAGAACTCCTTTGAACAATAGTTTTTTTAAATAAATGTTTTTTAAGTTAAAACTGATTAAATGCATCTAATTAAAGTGTAGATTATGGTTCTTATACACTCACTGACAGCCGTTTTAATACCGTTTTAATATCACGCTCAAAAAGTGACAATACCGGGCTCATCACCAAGGCTCCAATAGACAGAAATCCACCAAGGAAGGCTACTCTTCGGGTTTGAAACAAAAATTTATTAATACAATTTAAAAATAACAACCCCATCGTTATTTTTAAATTGTATTAATACATTTTTGTTTAAAATCCGGAGAGTAGCCCTACTTGGTGGATTTATATATATATATAAAATATATATATAATATATATCTTACATAAATGTAACTTCATTCTAAGTGTATTTTAATACTAATACATGTAATTTTATTAACATTAAAATACACTACATATGACTAGAATTGAGCGAACCCAGACTGTAAAGTTCGTGTTCGTACCGAACATTACGGTTTTTGGACCCCGGACCCGAACATGGACATATCACTGTATGTTCTGGTTGGAGTTTGGTGTTCAATTTAATGGCGCGTTTTCAAAGGCTGCAGGACAGCCAATCCACAAGCGTTTGACTTGTGTGCCCTTAGAAGCCATCACAGCCATGCCTACTAATGGCATGGCTGTGATTGGCCAGTGCACCATGTGACCCAGCCTCTATATATAAGCTGTAGTCACGTAGTGCCACACGCACATGAGCTCTTATTAGTGTAGGGAGAGGATGCTGCCACTGATAGGGACAGCTTAGGAAATAATTCTGCAAACTAGTACATTAGTGTGGTGCAGTTCATATCTAAGAGTCAAATAGAAGCGTCTAATAGTGTGCTTCAGCGCAGTTGTAAAAAATTCTAATTTTCTGGGTGCTAATCTGCTAAATAGTACATTTGCGGCCAACTTATTATGGCCACCTTCCTGCGTTTGTCATGGGTTCGTTCCAAATGAAGTTCAGCCTCTCTTCATTTGAAGGACCCAGTAAACAGCCTGCATGAGCAAGACTAACTGGGTCAGGTTCAGAGTAAGTACTGAACTGCAGCGTGGGATAGATGTCAGGTGTTGTGAGGGAGACACTGTTCCAGTTTATTATGGGGTTGGTTATCCTTAAAAATTCCCCTTGTTATTGGCTTACCCCTAGTAATTGGGGTCTAAAATCCCCCCCCTTACCTTGATGGCAGTTCTTTAGAATCCATACTGAAGGGGGTCCTCCTGGGGGATGGCCCTGTACAGACCGGTTATGTTTGGCTGTCTGTTCGATCTCTTCCTATGTAGACTGGTTTATATGGTGGTTCCCTGGGGTGTCTCCTGGGTGCTTGCTGGGAGTGTTTCTGCGGCGGCACTGCGCCAACTTCATATGGCTTTCTGGGGGTACCAGCATTGTTGGCTGGAATGCAGTATGCAGTCTGAAGTGTAGTTGCGTCCGGATCCGGCGAACCCGGAAGTACTTTGCATCGGCCGCAGGGTTTGGAACGCATGGCGTGCATTCCAGTTGTCTGCGCATGCGCGGACCGGACACGGCTCTAAACTGGATCATACTGACACTCTACCTGTGTGCTGTGTCAGCTGTTCAGGCGATTGGATTTCGGTCCGGAGTTCCTTGACGTTCCTCCTGTGCTGTTGTTTCTTGGCTGCCTGGAGTGTTTACTGTCATTATAAGGTAGGATTACCAGTTCTTCTATGTTTCTTGTTGGGAGGTTTTGTTTTGCTTGTCAGTTTGCCTCTGCTTTCTTATTGGGAATTGCATTTTGAATTTGATTTGATTCTCCTTTAGAGTATGGATTCTCCATTTGACTCTGCTAGATCCCTCTCTAGAAAACAGGTGAGCCATTTATTTTTCAATGGGGGGGTTGTTAAAAAGAGTGCCATACTAAGCCTGTAATATATGTTATATATGGCTTTATTTCAGCCCCAGCAAACAATTGGATTCTCCAGCAAGGAAATCAAGGGAAAAAACAATAAATGCATTAATTGTTCATCACCGGCTCCACATGGAAGGAACCTTTGCAGGGAATGATTGTTGGAAGTGGCTAATGTCCCCAGTAGGGGTTCCCCACAGGATGACCTTAAACTTTGTATTTCCCAAGCTATTGCTTGTGGTAAGAGACGCAGAGCGGAACCTCAGTCTTCCAGCTCTGGAGAAGACCCTGACTTGTGGGAGGTCTCAGATGATGGTGAGAAGGAAGTTGAATATACCTCCAGGTCTCTTGACTCTAAGTCTATTGATAGACTTATTACTCTCCTTAGAGACACTCTTAGTCTCATGGAAGAAAAGTCTAAATTGAGAGAGGCTGACAGGTTTTTTGAGGACTTAAAACCAAATAGAGCGACTTTCCCGGTACAAACCTCAATTAAGGACATGATCCTTCAAGAATGGAATAAGCCAGAAAGGAAATCCACCTTGAAAAATAAATTCACAAGGATTTATCCTTACTCAGCCATGGACTGCTGCTTATGGAATTCGGTTCCTAAGGTTGATGCTGCAGTGATCCATATGGTCCATATGATCCATATGATCCATATAAGAAAACTACGCTTCCTATTGACTCCATGGCATATCTCAGAGAGCCTATGGAAAAGCGTTTAAATGGGGATTTGATTAAAGCCTACTTGGCCCTGTGTGGCGGAACCAACCTCACCACTGGCCACTGGAGGAGCCTGGTCGCCCGCCTCCTGCCCCTGGACTATGGCCCCATGATTAACACTGCTCTTTTTCCCTGAAGAAAGGCTCGTTCGTGCCTTTCTGGGTACTGTTAAAATCACGACACCGGTCCATTCGGTTTAAACCATGCTACCCCAGATAGCTATGCCATGGAGCCCAGCTGTATACTGAAAGACTGTATGAAAGTATTTGGCTCCATGGTGATTGAACTGTATGTATGTGATCTGAGCGCCATCCGGTAATAATGTGCGCTCAGATCTAAGCTATCTGGGGATAGGTAGAATGTGTATGTTCTATGTGATAAATGTAACAGTATGTAATTTTATGTCTTTTATTGTCCTTTGTCTGCCATGTGGCTAATGGAGTTTTGCCTCTGTCCTTGGAGATAATTGGATTACTTCCCAATTATCTCCAGGACAGAGAGGAGGGATTGTGATGCATTGTGGGATTGTAAGCTTGTGATTGGTCAATGTCCAATATGTTTCCCAGTCTTCCATCTGGTCCCCTAGGGGAGTGTCCACCAGATGGGCGACCTGCATAAAAGCCAGGCAGGTAGCCCCAGTAAATGAGTTCTGCTTGATCCTCAAACGAAGTGTCGTCTCGTTCTTGGGGGGAATTGGATTGTATGCTGTTACAGTGCAACTGCCAGGACTGTAAACTGTTTGTATGGTTTTTCCTGTTCGGCTGTTTACAGCATTCGTGTGTTTCCTGTTCGGGAGTTTGGAGCATTCCCCTGGTTCCACTTCGGGAGATTGGTGAATTCATGTGTTTGCAGTTCGGGAGATTGGTGAATTCATGTGTTTGCAGTTCGGGAGATTGGTGATTGCAGTAGCTGTCTGTGCATCTGAAAAATGGAATATTGCCTAAACGTTTTTTAACCTCTTGTGTGCAAAACGGTCTGTTACAATTGGTGGCAAGCGGCTGGATGATTCCCACAGCCCAGAAGGACAACTACAAGGTAACACCAGTCCCTGGATTTACAAATTGAGGGTAACGCTAGTATCCGTACAGCGCCCCTATCTACAAAGGAACTCGGAAAATGGAGGAGGAGTTTTAAGATAGACTGTCCTGTTACGTATCTCTGGGGTCTGGAGCAGTCTCAGAGGAGGACATGTTGAGGTTAGTGATGTACCGAACGGTTCGCCGGCGAACGGTTCCTGGCGAACATAGCATGTTCGCGTTCGCCACGGCGTGCGAACATATGCGCGGTTCGACCCGCCCCCTATTCGTCATCATTGAGTAAACTTTGACCCTGTACCTCACAGTCAGCAGACACATTCCAGCCAATTAGCAGCACAGCCTCCCTAGCAGACCCTCCCACCTACTGGACAGCATCCATTTTAGATTCATTCTCAAGCTGCATGCTTAGTAAGAGGAGGGAAAGTGTAGCTGCTGTTCATAAGATAGGGAAAAGCATAGCTAGGTTAGGGATAAGGGTATGCTTTTTTTGGATTTTTTTTTTCTATCTAATGTAAATGCACTTAGTTGTCTGCCACTGCTGCCAGCTTCTGTGTCAGGCTCACAGTGCCCATTTCCCCAGTCAGTGCCACCAATTACATCTGGTGTCACAATAGCTTGGATTTAAAAACAAAAAACTTTTTTCACTGTTATAGATTGAATAGCAGTCAGTTGTCTGCCACTGCTGCCAGCTTCTGTGTCAGGCTCACAGTGCATACTGTGCCCATTTCCCCAGTCAGTGCCACCACTTACATCTGGTGTCACAATAGCTTGGATTTAAAAACAAAAAACTTTTTTCACTGTTATAGATTGAATAGCAGTCAGTTGTCTGCCACTGCTGCCAGCTTCTGTGTCAGGCTCACAGTGGATACTGTGCCCATTTCCCAAGTCAGTGCCACCTGATTTGTCTGGTGTCACAATAGCTTGAATTTAAAACAAAAAACTTTTTACTGTTGT